AGATCAGAAAGCCTTTAAGCATTCTTGCAAAACTCAAATATAAACAAACTCAAACTCCTCCTTCTTTGATTCTACTGAGATAAAGTGCTCTGATTTAGGTGAGTTTTTGTTTTGCTTTGACTTTAGGGGAGCTACCAAATAAAATTAGCAAAATATTTCTAGTCACTGGCACTCCATATTAGACTCCACAGAATCCCCAGAAAGACGACTGCATTTTAAAAAGCAAAAATGGGGACTTCCCTGGTGGCACAGTGGTTAAGAATCCACCCGCCAATGCAGGGGACACGGGTTAGAGCCCTGGTCAGGGAAGATCCCACATGCCGCGGAGCAACTAAGCCCATGCGCCACAACTACTGAGCCCGCGCTCTAGAGCCCCCGCGGCACAACTACTGAAGCCTGCGAACCTAGAGCCCGTGCTCCGCAACGAGAGGCCACCGCAGTGAGAAGCCCGCACACCGCAACAAAGAGTAGACCCCGCTCGCTGCAACTAGAGAAAGCCCAGTGTGCAGCAACGAAGACCCAACGCAGCCAAAAATAAATAAATTTATAAAAAAATAAAAGGCATAAATGTACACCCCTAAGTTCATAGCAGCACTATTTACAATAGCCAAGACATGGAAACTACCTAAATGTCCATCGACAGATGAATGGATAAAGATGTGGTGTAATGTATGTGTGTACGTATGTGTACACACACACAAACACAGCCATAGAAAAGAACGAAATGATACCATCTGCAGCAACATGGATGAACCTAGAGATTATCATACTACGTGAAGTAAGTCAGAAAGAGAAAGACAAATACCATATGGTATCACTTATATGTGGAATCTAAAATATGACGCAAATGAACTTATCTATGAAACAGAAACAGACTCACAGACATAGAGAACAGACCTGTGGTTGCCGGTGGGGGGTGAGGAGGGGGTTGGGGGAGGGATGGAGTGGGAGGTTGGGATCAGCAGATGCAAACTATTACATAGAGAATGGATAAACAACAAGGTCCTGCTGTATAGCACAGGGAACTATATTCAATACCCTGTGATAAACTGTCATGGAAAAGAATATGAAAAAGAATACATATATTTGTACAACTGAATCACTGTGCTGTACACCAGAAACCAACACAGCATTGTAAATCAACTATACTTAAAATAATTTTTAAAAATATAAATATAAAGCAAAAGTGGTACCCATTAAAATATAAAGCTATTTTATTCTTTGGAAAAACCGAAGACTTTAAGGTTTCTTAAGAGTAAACATAACCTTATGAGTGAATGTGTAAGACTACACATAGCTAAATTTGATCTTTAAGACCTCCCCAAATCAGAACATTTCAAAGTGAATCATCAACTGTATACATACACACATTTACATATACCACACAGAGAAAAAGTCTAGAGGGTAGAGAGCAAAAACATTAACAGTATTTATACTAAGTAAAAGAATTTTATAAACGGTATTTTCTTTAAAATGTTTTACAAGTTTTTCAATAATCCTATTGCTTTCTAATCAGTTACGGAATTAGAATAAAACAATAACAAACAAAACAATGAAGTTTACATTTTTAAAACTAAATACATAAAATAAATAGACTACGGCCAAGAAAGGGCAAATAAGACAAGCTAGATAAACACCTGCTTTTAGAAAACACTGGTCAAGTACATGGAGACATCACAGAAAGGATAAATGTCATTCATCTTACTGTGGAAGATAAGTTATATTTCGTTGATTGCTAAGTGGCAATCACACTAACCTACTTGATAATGCACAATTATGATTACCTTTCTAAGTAGTTTATCTTAAAAAAAAGTTACACCTTAGCTAAAATTAATACTATAGGACCACATAGGTAACGACTATGTTTTCAAACAGATAAGAGTACAAGTGGGTACTACTGTTCCTGCCTTTGTACTACCTGATGTACCTATTCTGGGACATCTCCCTTCTGTACTTTTGATTATCTTTGGTGTTATGTCGCAGGTAACTATAACTTACTAAGTTATTCAAGTCATCTGGGAAACAAGAAAGGGTTTTACAGTTTCAGGGTAGACTGCCCTCCCTGTTGTCCAACTGAGATGGCCATTTGAACTAGTCCGGGAAGACTTCAGCTATATAGCTAGTGGTTCTACTTGAGAAAGGAGATTTCAGATATGACTCGTGTGTTGGCATAATTTGAAAATAAAAATACAATAATAAGCTTACATCTGCACTCTGCACTATAAACAACCTAAGAGTGAACCCATCTCTACTTCAGAATAATGATATTTATGGAAAAAGTTTTCCCAGTTTCTTATTTTTCTTGGCTGCCTGTCCTAAGTCCCAAAGGAGTAAGGCAGACAGCACTCTGGGAAATGAAAGAGCTGTTTGCTTGCTTCCTATGCCAGCTGGGAGTCTGACAGTACCTCTGCGAGGCGAGATGTCTCAATTTTTTAGTAAACCTGTCTTTCTCTGGGTATGAAGAATTAAACAAGAAACATCAAAGCATGAACTGAATGGCTGCTACTGAACCAACAACCCTACTACTAGGTAATAAAGAATATCCCTGTGCAGGATTAAAAAGGATCAATTTCAGAGCAAAAAGCAAGTATTATTAATGTTTGTCCAGATTATATATAATAGCAAGCAAAATACTTTGAAAAACAGAAAGGGTTGAGAAAAGGTAGATATGGACACAAAACTGAAAAATAGTAATGACTTCAAAAAAAAGTGGACATGTTGAATTCTTCTATGTCTAGCACTTCAATATGGAAGAAAACTCTGTGAATTATAACAAAAGCACTGTTTTGTCCACATTAAAATATTTGACAATGAATTAAGATCCACACAACCTTCAACAAATTACACAAAATGGACTTTAGTTGGTCCTCATCCAATCCTCCTGCAACCTCTGCTGTTGTCCACCCCTACTCCTCCTTGGGTTTTCTCCTTGCATGGCTTTCATGAGCATCAAACTTTTTAAAAAGTTTATTTTTCCAATAACTCTGTTCCTTTTCCCATTTTAAAAACTCTCCTATCTCAAAATAGAGGCATTGTACGTTTGGGTTGTTCCCCATCTCAATGAATTCACGTAACCTCATATCGGTATTTTTCTTCAATTTAATGCACACTAATTTCTATTTTTAGCCCTCTCTTCTTTCGTGAGGGCTATTCCAGTAAGAATGTGGAACAGCCCTCATGAAAGAAGGCTCACATTCTTAAGTAAGAGGGCTATTCCTCTTACTTAAGGAGAGGTCAAAGATGACTCCCAGGTACCTATACTATTTTCTCTTTCTAAAAGAATTCCATTAGCTTGATTGTATGTCTTTCTATGTCATGTAGACTAAAACCCAGAAAGTTAAAAGAAAGGCTGATGACAGTATACACAATGACAGTAGCAAAAAATGAATGCTGACACTGAGAGAACAAAAATCACAAAAAGTAAAAGCAAAAGCTTAGCAATTTGGGACCATTTGAAATACAAGCCAAAGAAAAAACTGTCAGAGATCTCTTTAGTCCAGTGAGAGAAATAATTATGTAAACTATATAACTGCACTGTCCAATACAGTAACCATTAGCCACATGTAACTACATTTAAATTAATTAAATAAAATTAAAAATTCCATTCCTCAGTCACACACCACTTTGCAAGTGCTCAATCGCCACATGTAGCTAATGGCTACCTTACTGGACAGCATAGATGAAGAATACTTCGATCACTGCAGAAAGTTCTATTGGACAAAGCTGCAGTGCTCATTCAACATTCACTGAGTATTCCCTATACAACAGGCACATGCTAGGGACAGAAGTACAGAAAGATGAGTAAGATAAGGCCTCCCTCTGCCCTCAAAGAGCACATAGTCTGTCTAGTGGATGAAACAAAAAATATTTACAAGTGCTAGAATAGAGGTAATAACATTTATGAGAGAGTAATTGATTAAGAGGCTCAGCTCTGAACTCCAGACCAATTAGCTGGAATTCCAATCCTTTTATCTAGGTTCTCTGTGGACTGGGCCTTATTCACCTGGTGTTACGATGGTACAGCAAATAATGCTGAGACTCATCACTACCTAGCAATCCTGGGCTCATCGGAACCAAGATGCTGAAACCTAAACAGGATTTACGTTAGCTTTGTCCCCCTGGACTTGGTGCTTCACACTGCTGGCAACCCTTGAAGGAAAAAACCGTCCTGCTACTCTGGCTTTTTTCCCTTGGTCCCTCCCAGGAAACAGCTTTGCCTCAACTGTCCCTTTGGTTTGGAGCTCCTAGCACGTGCTATACTTATAATGATGAAGTCCTTGACCAAGTAATTAAGGCATTACCAAGGAATTAACACTGCAATCGAGAATAAGTATTCAGTGGAAATGAAACAAGAAGGGAGGGGAGAGGTGCTCCTAAGCAGAAAGGGCAGGCTAAGCAAGGATGAAAGACAGAAGCATAAATGTTAACTGAAAGATCTGTGGGCAAGCAGAGGATTGATTCATTACAACCCAAACACAGGGCACACACAGGGGGCAACAGCAGGAGATGAGGCTGGATTGAAACCCAACTGCTAAGAGCCTTAATGCCACCACCCAAGGAGCCTGGCCTGTAAGTGATAACCAAGCGTTATTAAGTAGAACAGTTAAATGATGAGATCTGTGTTTTCAAAAGACAAACCTGGGAAAAGGGTGAAAGGCAGATAAATAGCAGTAGATAAAGAGTAACGATATCTGGATGAAGACCTGGCTGAAGGTAGTGGAGATAAAGAACAGGAAATTCATCCGAGAGACATGAGAGAAAACTGGTTAGCTCTGACTATTGACAGGATGGATCTGGTACACTGGCATCCGATAAATGTTTGTTGCACAAGTTAGTGAGAAAGATACTGATCACTTAGATGACAGAGAAGGGCAGAAAAGGAAAACCATGAGAAACACAAAAATTTAAGGGAAGGACTGGCAGTGAGAGAAACTGAAAAGGAACAAAGAAATCAAACGAGGCCATAATCCTTCTGCCTGGAATGTGATTCCCCAAGATACCTGGATGGCTGTAGCTCCTTCAGACCCTTGTGCAGATGTCGACGTCTTAGTGAGTTCTCCCCTGATGGCATGATTTAAAACTGAACAGCACAGGAGTTCTCTCTCAGCACTCTCCAACGCCCCCTCCTGCTTTATTTTTCTCTGGAGAAAAATACCAACATCTATTATACTATATATTTTACTTATTTATTGTGTTTAATGTCTGTCTCCCTACTACTTAAATGTAAGCTCCATTAGGGGAGGAAATTTGTCTGCTTCATTCACCACTGTACACCAGAGTCTAAAACAGTGCCTGGCATATAGCACCTGCTCAACAAACACTTGCTGATTGACTGAATGATGCGAAGAAATAAAAACAGCAGGATTACTACGCATATACTGATAAGCATGGAAGTAAACTGATATCTAACTTGGAAATTATATTGATTATACTGAGTGCTAAAAGTAAAAATCTATATAACAGTCCTTTAAGTACAAAAAGCTCAAACATATTTTCTTCAAATATGTGTTTCATATATACTATATTCAAATATATGTAATTAATTTTAACATAGGCTTTCTGTTTACTCACAAAGTAATGAGAGAGACTTTATAGCTTGAAAAATCACTCACAATACTTGACAGCCACACTGCAAATCCACCACTTCAAGTATTTAAATCCTATTAATACCTTTTCAACTTCCATTACAAATTTCTAATTTCCTTTCTGAAATTTTGGCTATTTTAAAACATTAAGCAAATGCAAGAAGCTAAAGTTGAAATACCAGAATGTCAGTATAAGCACAGTCATTAGCTTTAAGATATAATGAAAAGGATATGACATTAAAAAGGTAAAGAATGGTCAAAAGTTAGAAATGCAAAAATATCCAAGAATACAAAAAGGCCCACCTAGCTGGCTGGCTTCAGGAAAAAGACCAAATATCATTAAGTCTCACTTTCCTCATCAATAAAATGCAGCTAATACTAGCACTTACCTACCTGATAAGCTTGTTCTGAGAGTTTTTGTTGGATTAAATCTGTTTCAAGTAATTAACTTGGCACAGTGTAAATGTAATTTACACAAAATAAATGTAATTTACTCCTTTAACCCACAAATATTTATGAAGAATACAGAAGGCATCATACTTACTGGCTACAGTGGCCAGTGAAAGACATATACCTATCCTCATAGAATCTAGGACAACTAAAATAAATCTAAAGACAAACAAACGAATTACCAAGTGTGACAAGTGTCACAGAGGAAGCCTATGGGGTCCTGAGTCAGAAACCAAGGGAGTGAGAGAATTCAACCTTAGATGTGGGCAGAAAAAGTATCTCTGAGGACAGGCAAGCTAATAAGTCATTACCCATACATGTAGGGCACAAAAGTACACTGATAAGGGTTCCAGGCAAAGGGACTGATACGTACAAAGACTCAGCCCAAGTGTGGGAAAGAGCTTGTGGCCTCTGAGGAACTGAGAGGATGCAGTGTAACTGAAGCACAGGAAGCCAAAGGAGGTAAGATCATAGAGACAGGCAAAAGCCAGACGATGCAGGACTCTGAAGGGCCACTGTAAGAATTTGTGACTTGATTCTATGGGACTTTATTCTTCAGTGGAAAGCTGCTGAAGTTTTCTGGTTTTCTTCAGAGGGACAGATGATCCAATTTACATCTCATAAAAATCACTAGAGCTATTTTTGGAAAGTGTAATACAGGGGAATGTGAAAAGAGGTAGAATAATTAGTTCCAAGACTAATGCCATAGTCCAGGAGACAGCGATGGTACTTGCAATATGGTGGTAGCAAGGAGATGAAGAGGACTTGATGGATTCCAGATACAGTTTGAAATGGATTGAATTTGGGGGATGAGGGAATGGAAGAAATCAAAGATGACTCCTAGATGTCTGACTTAAGCAAATGCTTGGCTGATGGTGCCATGGTAAGTAACACAGTTAAGAATTTAATTAATTTTAGCTATTCATAGCTACTATTAGGATAGAAGCGAGAGGAAAAAAACCTGGTGATCCTATAGCCAAAATAGAGGGAGGGAGGGAGGGAGGGGACACTAAAGCACAGACAGAAAGGACAATTAGGTCAAGCTGTGAGGGAAGAGCAACATCAGACCAAACTTCCCACTGAAAACAACTATAAAAGTGACATAAAATACCAAACAAACTGAGCTATCTAAAGGAAGAGAGAGAACAACCAAGAGAACCAGGACGTCAGGAGCCTTGAGAAGGGAGACACATAGAAGGTCCCCATTTCCCCCTTGAGGTATTTGCCAATTACCACTACGGGGTATACAGGCCAAGCAGAAAGCAGCATCTCGGAGCTTCTATCAGTCCCACGGGGCTGGCAAGACAAAAATCGGAATTCTGTACGACACCAAGGCAGCTAGGAATTGAGGATCCCAGATAAAAAGGAACCACAAAGAATGAGCCCATCATTCTGCTCAATTTTTGCCCTCCAGGAATGTGCTGGACATGGAATGAAGTGGAGGTAAACTCCTCAAAAAGACGTTGCGAAGAGGCTAAAAGCTGAGCAGAACTTTCATCAGCCTCACAATACTTAAAATTCAGGGCTTGCCAAGGAAGAGGCATCTTGGTAAATACTTCAGACTTTTAAATGAGACCTCAAAAGAGCTATGTGCTAAGAGGCTATTTGAATTTCCTGATTACCCTGAATTCAGGCTTATGTCTTATCAATCATTGATGAATCAAAGTGATCAATGCTGTCCTAACTGCCTGCCAGAGAATATTAATAACATTTTTCTGGGACTTCCCTGGCGGTCCAGTGGTTAAGACTCCACACTTCCACTGCAGGGGGCACAAGTTCGATCCCTGGAAGGGGAACTAAGATCCTGCGTGCCACACGGTGCAGCCAAAAAAATAAATTTAAAACTTTTTTAAGAAATAATCTTTTTCTATCTGAAGAAAGATAACATCATTCTGATCCTCTATAATTTTTCATCACAACGTTAATAAAACATTACCAGGCATACTGGAAAAAAGGATCAAATGATCAAAAGGCAGACAACAGAAATAAGCTCATGGGTGATGCAGGTATTAGAGTTATCAGACAGAAACATTACAACAATGTTTATATACTCAAGAAAATAGGTAAAACACTGTGAGAACTTGAATCTGTGTAAGGTTTTGGACTGAAAATACAAAAACTGAAATTAAGAACTCAATAATTGGGTATAACTGGATACTGGACAGAGAAGATATGATAGGTAAACTTGAAGATAGTTCAGCAAAAATATCCAGATACACAGAGGGGGTAAAAATAGTATGAAAACTGTGAAATGACCTAACATACATGAATTCATAGTCCAAGAAAGAAAGGAAAGAATTAGGGCTTCCTGGTGGCACAGTGGTTGAGAATCCACCTGCCAATGCAGGGGACACGGGTTCGATCCCTGCTCCGGGAAGATCCCACATGGCTCAGAGCAACTAAGCCCGTGCGCCACAACTACTGAGCCTGCACTCTAGAGCCTATGCACCGCAACTACTGAGCCCATGTGTCACAACTACTGAAGCCCATGTGCCTAGAGCCCGTGCTCCGCAACGAGAAGCTACCGCAATGAGAAGCCCGCGAACCACAACGAAGAGTAGCCCCCACTCACCGCAACTAGAGAAAGCCCACGCATAGCAACAAAGACCCAAAGCAGCCAAAAATAAATAAATAAAATAAATAAACTTATTTTTTTTTTAAAAAAAGAATCCCAGCTTATGAAGAGGGTGTGGAGAAAAGGGAACCCTCCTACATTGTTGGTGGGAATGGAAGCTGGTGCAGCAACTGTGGAAAACAGTATGGAGGTTCCTCAAAAAACTAAAAATAGAACTACCATATGACCCAGCAATCCCACTACTGGGCATATACCCTGAGAAAACTGTAATTCAAAAGGACACACATGTACCCCAATGTTCATTGCTGCACTATTTACAATAGCCAGGATATGGAACAACCTAAATGTTCAATGACAGATGAATGGATAAAGAAGATGTGGTACGTATTTACAATGGAATATTACTCAGCCATAAAAAGGAACGAAATTGGGTCATCTGTAGAGATGTGAATGGACCTAGAGTCTGTCATACAGAGTGAAGTGAGACAGAAAGAGAAAAACAAATATCGTATATGTGGAATCTAGAAAAATGGTACATATGAACCTATTTGCAGGGTAGGAACAGACAAAAAGACGTACAGAACGGACATGTGGACACAGTGGGGAAAGGGGAAGGGGACGAATTGGGAGATTAGGAGTGACATATATACACTACCATGCGTAAAATAAGTAGCTAGTGGGAACACGCTATAAAGCACAGGAAACTCAGCTCAGTGCTCTGTGATGACCTAGATGGATGGGATGGGTGGGGGGTGGGAGGGACATCCAAGAGGGAGGGGATATAGGTATACATATAGCTGATTCACTTCATTGCACAGCAGAAACTAATACAACATTGTAAAGCATTTATACTCCAATAAAAAAAAAAACTATGATGCGTAAAGAGATTCATCTTAAGCTATAAGGACAAAGAAAGGTTTTAAAGAAATAGCTGGAAAGAGAAGTTAAAAAAAAAGGTACTATATAATATCCAAAAAAAATAGACTTTAAGGCAAAAATTATTACTAGAGATAATGATAAAAGGATCAATCCAACAGGAAGATACAACAAATTTATTTGCAACCAAGAACTTGGCCTCAAAATATATAAGGCAAAAATTTGAGAGAACTAAAAAGACATATAGATGAATCCTCACACAGTTGGAGATTTTAACACATTTCTCTCAATGAAGTGATAAAAAAGACAAGGAAGTTGGTAGTGATACAGTCGATTTGAACATGATTAATAAACTTGACTTACATGATATTAATCACACCACACTTAATTTTCTAAAACTGACCAGAAAGCAAGTGTCAACAAATTACCAACAACTGAAATCAGAGAAAGAATGATCCTAGACCACAGTAGTATTAAACTAGATATCAACAATAAGAATATAGCTAGAAAAATCCCCAAGTGCTTAGACATTATGCAATATACTTCTAAATAACCAATGGATCAAAGAAACCACAATGGAAAATTTAAAACAATTCTAATTGAGTAATAAAAATATATCAGACTCGTGAGATCCAGCTAAAGTTGCATTTATAGG